AGAAGTGGTGCCTCGATGCGCACCCGGGATCCGAACCCGGGCCACCAGCATTGCAGCGCGCGCACTTAACCACCAAGCCACAGGGCCGGCCCTATTTACATTTTAAAGTTTAAGCAATTCTGGCCTTGGAAGAGAAAACACATTTGGCCCCCAAAACCGTCAAATCATGGCTGTGTGGAGGCCAATGGGAACAATGTGAAATTTTAAAATTTAGTCGCGATTTTTTTTTTTTCTTTACAGGAGATTTAATGGAGAATTTAGTTCCCCATCCTGAATTCAAGATGCTGGGTGTTCGTAACATTCCTCAAATGTCTGAGAACTCACTGGCATACAGCACATTTACTTGGGCTGGCCTCCTCAAGCATTTGAGACAGATGCTCATTTCTAATGCGAAAATGGAAGAAGGTAAAGGGTATTTTAAAAATATGCAGCCCACAAGGTGGGAAAAATGCCTGTACTGGAGTTGTCAATATAAACTGGCTTGGGTCACTTGAAATAATGGTCCCTTCTTCTGGCCAGGGAGGCTCCTGCAGAAACTCACCAGGACATCCCAGGAGGGCTTCTTAATTTTATTTTATTTTTTTTTCCCCCAAAGCCCCAGTAGATAGTTGTATGTCATAGTTGCACAGCCTTCTAGTTGCTGTATGTGGGACGCGGCCTCAGCATGGCCGGAGAAGCGGTGCGTCGGTGCACGCCCGGGATCCGAACCCGGGCCGCCTGCAGCAAAGCGCGCGCGCACTCAACCGCTAAGCCACGGGGCCGGCCCCTCCAGGAGGGCTTCTTAATCACACAGTTTCATTTCCCCAAAAAATTTCAGATGATTGTGACATTTATTTTTATTTTTTTTTGTTGTTGAACATTTTGTTATGTTATATGACCATAGTTTTTAAAAAATCAAGTACGTAGTCAAAACTCATTGAACTGTATACTTAAATCTGTATATTGCATTGTATGTAAATTATATCTCAGCTTTTTTTAGAACTCAAGTAATTTCCAGTATGAATTTATAGTGAGGAAAAGATCAGTCCCCTGTCCTATACTTCCCCACTGCCCAGCTGAAACTACATTCAGTGTTTTTAGCTGTTTCTTCTGGAATTTGCCTCCATATTTCTAAATATCTTGCTTATACTGTTGTTTTATTTTCCAGGTGTAGATATTATCAATAGCCTTCCTAATGTGAAACTTGAGGATTAAATCTTACACCCCCTCTACACACACACACACACACACACACATATGCACACACGCATGCACACAAGTACACACGTCATCTCCCTTCTTTCTCCCAGTATAGTTATTACATACTTTTGGGTTAGATCAGTTTTCCGTGTTTATAATACTTTTGCTATATAAATATTATTCACAGTTGAGTGGTATACTATATACACAGGTTACATTTTATTTCATGTACAGTTTATTTCTTCCTCCTAGAGTTAATAATTATATTTATTTGGTCGATATTCTATGTACCTATCACTAATCTATCCCTAAACTTCCATAAAAATGAGCCCTTTCTCAGCATGTTCAAACCCGTTGGTAATCTATTACTTTCATTATCTGCTTGGAGATGTCCCTTTAGCAGCCCTTCATTCTCCTCTCCAGTCTGCACTGGTTGCTCCCCAGGCTTGATAAGCAGCCAGCACTGGCATCTCTGCCTCATTCTGTATTCTATCCTCTGTTTCCTAGATTTCACATCTTCCACTTTTTTCCTTTATTCCCTCATATTAATAGACCATACCCTCCAGGAGCTTCCTAAGAAAGACTACAGGGAAGGTAAAAATTTTAAGGCTGCAAATGTCATTATTCTGCCCTTACATTTAATTGATAGTTCGGCCAAGTGTAGGATTTCAGGTTGGGAATCCTTTTTACCCGAAGTATTTGGGTATTTCGAAGTATTTCGCAGGCATTGCTTCCAGTGTTGCTGTTGAAAAGTCCCACGTATGGCCGGCCCTGTGGCTTGGTGGTTAAGTGCGCGCGCTGCGATGCTGGTGGCCCGGGTTCGGATCCCGGGTGCGCATCGAGGCACCACTTCTCCGTTCA